TTTTATGTTCATGTTTCGTTTGTGGCTATATCGGGTTGTTTACAGACACAATTATAGCTTTACGTTTAAATAAGTAGAGTCGCTTTCTCTTTCTGCGGAATGGTTACAGATTCTGCGAAAACTGCAACTGTGACTAGGCAAGAATCCGTCAATCATCCGCTATTGTGCTGAACACAATAGAGAGCTCGCAGATCCACAAAACGTCACGTCACCAGCATGTCACAGCGCGCACAGCAGTGCGCTGCCAAGTTATAAAAAATATAGAGTTCAATGTGCTCACATTGGGGTCGACAGAGATTATGGGACATGATTTGTGAAGCGGATATTGCAAATTGCATTACTAAATCAAGTAAATTGGCTATTGATACGTTCAATGCCAAATGTCTTGTTCACGATTAATTAAGTAAGAAACTCTTACTGCTAATTTAGTATACCGTCACGTTATTTTATTAAGACTGTAGTGATGCACTGAATTAATACAACTTAACTCGAATTTTTTACAAAGACGTTAAAAAAGCAGCATTATTTTTTTAAACGGTTGCTTGCTGAAATCGAATAAAATAGAATATAATAGATTACGTGAGTGAGAGCCGTCTAGCCGACACAAATGGCCGAAATAAACTTAACATTAACCTGACATTTAACATATTACTGTCAAAATTACCAAACTGTTGAATTCGCCTTTTGATAAGTGCATTGTAAAGTTGATTGGCAACATGTAATATGCAATCACATGCAAAGAATTTTGTGAATACCGGCGTGACCTTTCACGTTTATTAAATAGTATTTAAGTATTTAAAATGAGTTGAGAAAAAATGACATTGTTTTCAAAAATCCCACGACGTTGTTATTGAAATTTAAAGTCCGCTCGGTAATAAAGTGGCTTGTAATGAGACGCACCTAGGCCATAATAAAGCGGCAGTAATAAGGTCCAGTTTTTACTGCCACTCAGAGGGTATAAAAGAGATGTGTATCATTAAAGTTAAATAAAACGTTGATCCCGCACTGGGGCTCTTATTACTTCGGGGCGGGGTTCGTCGCCGCGGCCGTCCCAGCAATTATTGCGCAAGAAGTAAAATAAAATCATGACAGCGATAAATAACGTTTCATAACTACACGACGCGGACGCCAGCAGACCGCGAACCCGCTCGACCGGTCGCCGCAGGTGGCGGCTGGCTGCGCCTCTCTGACCCTGGGACCGGACCAGACAACCACGAATCCTCATGACAGATAGCATTCACACAAAGGTCATGGATTAAGGAAATAAGATAAATAACAGAATGATCACTCGCCTCGTGATGCCATAAACATACGATGATAAGATTGCACTTTTATCTCTGTCCTTGCCGACGGAATTTTTGCAATCGAATTGTTATCAACACTATAAAGACATTATCAGTCTGTGTATCGTCAAAATGTTTCAAAATAAATGTAGAGATTATACGTTAACATTGTGTCTAATATCGCGCTTGTTTTCTCTTTGTTCNCCTTGTTCGTCGTTAAATATTTGATTCGACTCACAACAAGGCATTATCATACAATTACCATTCAGTCACATGTTCGTATCATGTAGGTACCTACTATGTTCTTTTGTCCGATTGTATATTCACGTAAATCGTCTCCACTCATTCTTCGGTGTGGATGTAGAGTCGCTTATTCGCTTCACAATAAAACAGATGTTCATATTTTCAATTTAAAGGTTGACGTCATCAAATTATTATTAAACGCAACTGTAACGAAGTTAAATGACAAACGAGGTTACTGGTGGAGCATTTTGTTCACATGTTTGTGGCACAGTTTTATAAAAATGTTTTGATATTATTTTATAGTAACATCGAATATATGGAGCGGAACAGTAATGAAGTGGATGTTGTTATCGTATCCAAAGACAGCAGACTCGATCGAAGCGAAGGATAGAAAGTCGTGCGTGCAAAATTGCATGTTATGACCACAACCGGTTGCCGGTTGCCGGGGCCGATGTATGTGAAACTCGGGCATTAGCTGCCACGCCATAAAGGAACGCTGCACGCTGGCGCGCTTTAACAAGAATGACATGCGGGCCAATTTAATTTACATTAATTTAAGTAAACACACCGCCATATGTTCACATATTGGTGCAGACAAACGTGCCTATGGACAGAATTATCAACGACACTTGTATAATTATTGAGGATAATGAAATTCACAACGGTATTTGTTCTATGAAATTGTAAGCATAAAGTAACAATAGTGTATTTTATAATTGTCTAGGTACTACTCGTGAAATGTTGCGAAATAGTTTCATAAATGTAGGTGAAATATTTATTTATTTATTTATTTTTTATTTATTTATTTATTTAATAAAAATCTTAGCTCTAACATTACAGGTTACCCCAATGCGATAGAGTATATATATTTTATAATGTAGAAAGGTTAATAAATTGAGCTGTTAATCGAAGTGTTGCGTATCTAACTAACAGCAGGGCGATGACCCTTAAGATGCGGGCTCATTAATGCACCCATTGCAAAACGCAGCTAAAGTAATGTCCAAGCTGCATTCACATCGAACCGAACGCTCATTACATTACTCATTAAAACACCAAGTTATTTACAAAGCAATTGTTGAATTATATTTATGTCAGTTTTTAATAATAATTGCCTCGGAAATACAATAGAAGACAGCCGTCTAAATAAACTAAAAGATATGTTCAACGTAAAGTAACCATAACCTTAGTTAAATAATTGGCCATTTGTTTAATAGCTTCAGTCTCTCAATATTTTCTCGCGAGCTATTGTAGCCGACATCAGTCAAAACAGGTAACAGAGGACAGCAATAAGTTTTCAAAGGGCGAGGTGGCCCGAATACATTCAAAGCCCTAATAGCCTCCCGGGACCCTCGTCCCAACGGTCGCCGACAACAATGGACCGTGCCCTACAAATCTCACATATATTAACTTTATTATTATTCTCGGCTCAGTTTCATCGTAATGTTGAAAAGATTATCGTGTCTACAAGAACCGGTTTCGTTACGAGTCGTGTTATGAAACGCGGTTAATAATTCAACCCGGCGAATTAGACGGGCAAATACTTTCACCGCGACTTTCTGGTGCGAGGTGCGGACAGCGGTCTAGCTCGCCTGACCTCCGCGGGCTGCAGTATTGTTCAACAGTTTTTTTGTGCCCGCTAGTTCTATTAACGCCCGTCAGTGTCAATGTTGAAATAGAAAGCTGAGAATCACTCGAGACGTCAAAACAAGCCACTCAGGAAGTAGAGTATCTCTAGGTGATCAGAACCATTATTTGCCTGCATCATTGCCCCGGGCAATTAACGTCAATTACCCTTTCCCTCGGGCGTACCGCGGCGACGATGGTCGTCACTATCTATGGCCGATAATTACCACATTTCGCCATCACAGTCGGCTGCGTCATCATTATAAATAATCGCCCTATCATATCGGCCGAAGCAATAAAATTCTTGTACTGGATACTGGATTAATCATATCCGTCGGACGCGATCACTCACGCATATAAAGCAGGTGTTTATAAATACAGGTCCGTATAGTACGGGCCATAACAGCCGGTAATCGTGAGCTAAACATGGACAAATATCGAGAGACCGGTTCTCCGACTTTTAAAATGTTTTCGGAGCAATTCGTGCCACGAATATTCATTTAATTATCTACATGAGATTCGAGATGACGCACGCGGAGCTTATTACTGGACCGGCATTCGTTTTTTCTTGTTATTTATAGCAGATATCAATAAGCATTAAAACGGATTCGTGGAAACGATATCGTCGATTCGATAGACTCGTAAATGGCATTTTAAAAACATATCAGAAATCAAGTTAATCCTGTTTCTTTAATGAGAAGTAATTTAAATCGCAATCTTTTAAAAGGCCAACGGTAAGTTTTTTACTTCCAATTATATTAACAACATTGAATAAACAAAGCATTAATAAAGCTGATACTATAAATAAAGAGAGTAATGAGATTTCAAGTACAAAGGTCGGCTTTGAAGCAGAACAAACAAAAGTTAACGCTCGATTTCGAATAACATTGTGTACTTTATTATGTTGGAGTTTGTAAAGGTGCGGCGAACATGGGGAAAAGAAAATAAAGCTATACCACAGCGAGGGTGGCACTGACACCTCGTGTGTGGCGGCCTTTAACGACCGGGGGAAGGAGCGTGTTGTTTTAACCCATTCCCGGCTATAGGTACTGCTCACAAAGACTCGGATTCCATTATACAGGAATAACATAAATAACGATTAGACATGTACCGTTGCACAGTACATAATAAGATTGATTTACATACCTGAAACAGTAGCCCGAATAAAGAATTATGTAGAACCATCTATCGAAAACGACATGACCCCGTTACTCGGATACTGGATTGAATTTTAAATTTTGAAATAATAATAACAAATGTATTTGTCGTCCGCAGTGGCCTCTGCTCAAACCGACGGGTGCGCATAAGTGGCCCATCCATACGCAGATGAGTTTGGACAAACAAAGATATCATTTGAATGTGAAATCAGCGATCTCGATCACACAAACACGTTTATGACGCTATACATAAAGGCTTTGATGCTGACGGCAATTTATTATCATAATACCGACTTGTAGTTATACCTTACATAAATTATCCTGCTGCATGTAAGCCGATGCCGAACCTATTAATAAGTACATTATGAATGTATCAGCTCAACTTAAGAGCTCGAGATCTATCAAAAGATTAAAGTTTGATAACAATCATTTACGATGCGTTTTTGTTTAGAGAGAAACAAAATTGCAGACAAAAAAGTATCTTCATATTTTTTGTGGCGAACAGTTTCAAGAAAATAATATGACAAATCAAGTGTAGCACACACTTTAGGTGCATCTTTAAAAACATTAGTTGCGTTAGCTGTGACGGCACTCGGCGATTTGGTTTTACAATCGACATCAGTTCGATCAATATGAAACATCCCCTAGATACATAAATGAATAAAGACTGCAGTGAAACGTGTAAACAATTTACCTTTTTTGTTAATGTCGCCGGATTCACTCTCAGGGGACGAGCCTGCAACAAAAAGAGAAACATTTTCAGATAAATCATTCAAAATAAAATGGGGTCCAACAATTTTTTTATTAAAATGTATGCGCATTTTCAAGTTATTCAAATATTGTGCAGACATAGGATAAAAAGTTTTTATTTAAGTGTATTTTTGAGTAATCTAACAATAATATTCACGTTCTTGTTAAAAACATCACAAAAACATACTTAATACGGTATGCTCATTTTGTGAATCAATAAAATAATGTTTTTGTGTTAACTAGTTAATTAAATGCTAATAAACATATTTGTAAAGAACATGACAAGACATTATTTTTAGAATGATCACAATAACATTTATAAAAAAATTCGCGAAGGTTATGATGACGGCAATCAAAATATTTTAGTCACAAAATAAACGGCCCAACTAAAATGGAAACCTTTACTTCGATCCAAAGGTCAAATATTTATCCGCTGAATATTTATGAAGCTGTCAAGAATAGCAGACACGAACTGGTTATCGTAACCTGTTTTGTCGAGTAAGAGGTATGTGAAATAAACAACCTTTTTTTCGACGGATGTATTCACAAAAAAGCGTTCTCTGATGGTTTATGTAAGCACCTAACTCTGTCTAGTTAGATAAGATCATGTGTATTCTAAAACGTGACTTTGTAATTAGTATACTGACGAAAATATCTCGGGTCCTTGACAACATATGTTTCACGTTGGACTTTTTAGGCTTATTTCGTTTATTCAAGGTTGTAGCAGATTTATTGTTGTCTTCTTAGGGAAAAAATGTCTTAGCAGGCCGGCTGTTGTGGGTAAAGCCTGGAATGGGCATGGCTACGGCAGGTGGGCACATATCTCGCGTTTCTGCCCGCATGCTCCCGCCTTGCCCACTGGCGCACCTGGCAGTTCACTAACCTGAAGTTATATGCGCCCGGACCTCATAAGTTAATGTATTTGTATTCCATTTCGCTTGGCTATCCCTACTTCGTTCTGCTCGTGTGTGGTCCAGTCCCAAGTCGTAAAATGCACCAATTATTATGGTCATTTTACGAGAGATCTGGCATTTAATCAGCATTTATTCTGTAGTAAAAACTAGTCTATAAAATTACGTAGCACGTTGTCCATTCGTATGTATTATATATTAATACATAATTAATAAAACTATTTAATATCCACGACCATAGCGAGCGGTCGATAATTTAATTACAACACTTATTCTCCACCATTTTTGCGCGCATTATCATATGCCCATATAATGTATGTCACTTCGCCTTATTGGCTTAATAAAATCAACCTCGAAGTGTTGTCGTTTTTTCATTGATCATAAACGCTGACCATAAGCAGAAGGTGGACGTCGCGAGTCTGGCAATCAATCCATCAAAAACCGATATCCATCATTGTAATGTGGGTGTAAACTGCGAAACAGCTGTGGTTAAATGCTCGCACGACTCGCCTGGCATTTTATGTACCAGAACCTGTTTAAGTTATGCAATAGAAAAAAACGTATTTGCTTAATGGCATGCAGTTGCTATCTTTATGCGACAATCACCTGCTGATTGTGAAGTATGCTGTTTACGTGCGCAATTACGAGTTATGCTAAAGTGTAATAGACGCTTGTTATTGAGGTAACCTCCAGATATTATTGTGCAAATTAACTGTAGGTAATTGCACTTTGATCTATGTATATGTAGGTTTTAATTACTTTGTTTATTCCAAAACTTATTTTAAAGTCTGATAATTGTCATTAATGTACCCTTTTCAATGAGCCAATAAGTCATCATCAACAGCCCTTTACAGTCCACTACTGGACTATGAGCCTCCTCCACTATAGTGGAGGGTTTTGCCATAATCCCCACGCTTGGCAGGCGGGTTGGAGATCGCAGTTTAAAAGATTGATGTTTGTCAGAGAGCGCTGCTACCCGTTCTCTGTTTGATGTGTAGTCCCTAAGTCGCCTCTTACGACACCCGCGGGAAGAGTAGGGGTTGGTGACAAATGTATTCTACTCTGCCGTCACCACACGGCAACGTGAGCCAATAAGTACCTACCAATTATAAGATCCGAAAACGTATAAATTATCTTTATTTATTTTTTACCACAATGTATTAAGTTACAGCTGTCGTACAGATAATTCATAACATCAAGTTTCCATCCAGTTGTGCCATCAGAACCTGTAGACACAGGTGGTCGACCAAAGGTGGATAGATTAAAATGAATTTATCATAACTGCTCAACGTTGCAAATTTATCATTCGGTCCGACAAATTGTAGGCGATTGCCCAAGGGAACGGGCGTATCAAATCAATATTACCAGTTGGATCCAATCAGCGAACCTGTTTTAGACGATAACTATCGTGTACTTGGCTGCGGGAATTATGGAAGGCATTTCCTCAAACAGCCTCGCAACTGTATAATTAAACCGCGTAATTACCGCCGCAGACGCAGGCTGTACCGTTACCGCTAACTAGAATTTTCATAGCACTCTTAATCATTGTCATTTTGTTAAATTTATTCATTCTTACCATTACAACCACGAGTTGCACGACCATCTTAATAATAATGCAGTTCAAACTGCGCAGAAACCACGACGACGGCAGGCTCGACTGTTGATGCTTTACAAAGAACGTAAATGGAATTTTAATAACTCCGTCATTGAATGGAGCGGCATAAGTTTCTAATGAATCGACTATTACTGAATAAGGAAATGGTCAATTTGCATCGAGCGTACACATTGTGGATGCACAAGCGTGACGTCTTATGGTGCGGAAACATTTGTTTGCTGCGCCCGCGCCCTAATGCCGCGACCGTTGACTGGACAGACTAATGACCAGCCATACTCGTTCCTGCCCTCGTGGGCAAACGACAAAAACGCATGCCGTTTTCCTTTTAAGTGGCATAGCTCCTTTCCTGCGCGGCATGCGGCCGGACCAGTCCGCGCAACTGGTCCGTGAGAAATGGGGACTCGCTGGGTACGATGCCCGATATACCTATGTTATGTACCACCGGCACCGGCCCGTTCTCCTCTCCAATTAATTGTAAATACGTCAGTCGCCAAATACAGACGCTTTAGACCTTATATGAGCAGCCTCCGTTTGCAATGCTCTTACATGGAAACGGATAACGTTGAATTTATTTAGAATTCAATTTCAGTTGCATTCTTACATATTTATGAGCATTGCAATCGACCGCAAGCGTACATAAATTTATTATTGTATTCAATTAATTAGATATCAATTCATTGATTGGTTCATTGAAACGACTGAAGTAAAANAGGTAAAATTTAAAATGAGATTGCAAAACCCGATAACGGATATCTTATCCGTCTTGTTTTCCATTTCTTTACAATATCTGTTTAAAATACAACATTAAATACTAATACTGTCTTATCTGGTTAGGTATAGTGAGTGATTGCTTCCACGATGGAAGGAGGTGTCTGAGAGAAAATTTATTGAGACTATTGGAGAGTGCCTGTGTAGAGCTATTTAGTTTTCATCGATCAAAACGCCAGTATTGTCAAACTCTCTTAGCTTTCTAATTGAGATAAGTACGAGTACAAGAACGAGACTGGTATATCAGCTAGTTAACGGATGTCGTCCAACCGGTCGGGCAACCGGCGCACAGTGTTGCCGGTTCATAGTAGGTAACGGACAAAATTATTTTCGATCTGAACTTACTACCTTTTGTCAGATTTGTATAGAATATAACTATATCTAATAGAAAAATACATTTTTTAGTTTTGAAATTGGTACATATTTTAGTACAAACTTGGAACAAAAATTAATGCAAAATATCATCTAACTTCAGCTTAATGATTAGGGTTTGTGGCTTTCCATAGCTCGATAGGCTTATATCATCCAAATGTATTTCTTGGTGCACCTTTGTAATGACGTTAAGTATGTTACCATGTGTAATTGACCGCTTGATTACAGGAACTTGATCCAATTCTCAAACAGCGCCTCGGAAAAATTCTTAGTTTCGAAAATCGCTAAAAACAGCGCGGGTAGTATGTCGTAGCAAAATTTGTTTTTACAACATGAAAATATAATATCTGAGGATAATTTCTATCAATATTTCGTTACGGAAAGTAATGGAAAGTATGTACTTTCAGCCTTGTGAGTATAATTTTTAAGGTCGTTTTCAATCACTGATTTTGTTAATTTTTATTAAATAAATAGGCTTAAGTTCTATAAACACAAATACATTTTCTAAAAGACAGTACCTTGAACTCTAGAACCCATATTTTTAATCGTGTAAATATTGTCAATTGACAAAACAGTGCCTAAATGAATAAAGCAATATTTTTGTTCCAAGGAAACCTTGTTATCGGACGCCCTACTTTGACCAGTCATATTCTCATTTCTGTTAGCAATCTATCCTCAATATTTTACATTTTCACGACACACATATTCAGTTTGAATAATAGTTAATCAATTTTCGTTTACGGTCAGTTTCCAAAATTTGGTTTTTGTCCGGCCGTGGCAACACTGTGCGGCGACCGGTCGCGCCGAGACCATTCAATTTACACGTACAATTAAGCGTGATACACGCTCCACGAAATCGGTCGCATATGTTGAAAATCTCATGTTACAAGAGCGCACGTAACCGGTATTCGATGGAGATATGCGCCGATAAATATTTCCCATTGTGTTCGGAGGAGTCAATCGCGCAAGGGTCGCTGTTTGCGTTCTATTGAACATACACCTCTGGCACGCTCGTAAATTAAAAACGGCCACTTGGCAAACGCGGTGTACCTAAAATAAACAGATAATAAGTTGGAGCGGTCTGCGCCTGTCTAAAAATAGATATGTTTTCATAAACCTGATATGAGATTTTATGCAGAGCCAGTGTCGGGAATGAGGTCGAGCGAGTTGGCATGCGGCTCAGATGTGCCGGTTAATAAACAATGCGTTGGCATGCCACATTAACACTTAGATCTTTATCTCGAATGCCGAAAATCGTTTCAACGAAAATATTGACTAAATTGCTAGGTACTCTCTTTCCTTGTTTGTAATGTAAGTCGC